CCGGCTTCGACAAAAGTCTGATCTATCATGGTTGTCGCACCAACCCAAACCACAACCACTGACCACAACTGCAACCACCGCCATGACACACGCTCCGCCAGCAAAAACCACCATCGTCTCAGCGAGCCACGACCCTTACCCCCAAAAAAAACAGAGTTGCAGCATCGCACCTAGACCACCGAGCGGTCCCGAGCACGCGCACCCGTGCCACGTGCAACCGCTCGCCGAATCTACAAGACTTGGTTGTATATATATCGTGTAGTTCGAATTTCACTACACTGCATATGTGCATTGTTGCTATTCCACTTTCTTGGCCGTCTAATGGACAAGAATTGTAAAAACCGAACGGAAAATCATGAAACTCTTGCTTTGGTGAAAACGAAAATGTCTAGGAGAAAAAAAAATTGAAATTGAAGGAAACTAGTTCGTGATGTCCAAACATACAATGCCACTAATAATTGTACAAAGTTGGTTGAATCAGGCAATCTCTCCTCTTCTACCGTTGTTGCAGCCCCGGGTGAAGGTTCGTGGGACATTGTTCTGAACCTTGTGTCGGGTAGGTTCTTATGGTACCGGAAGTGCCGTACCCGCCTTGTGCGGCAGAGTGTAGTCATGTGCACACCCCGGGCAGACCTGTTGCTTCGGTGGCTCGGGCGTCGCAAGTGGCGTACCTGCCGGAGGCAGACCGTAGACATGGTCACACCCCGGGCAGTGATGTTGCTCCGGCGGCCCGGGCGACTCAAGTGCCGCACCCACCAACGGCGGTGGAGCATAGTCATGGCCACACCCCGGGCAGTAATGTTGCTTCGGCGGCCCGGGCGGCGCAAGTTCTGGCAGCGGAGCGTAGTCATGATTCTGTCCCCTTGATTTCCCGGGCATAGGTGATTGAGGCTGTATTCCTCGTCCGCGCCACCAGGTTGGAAAATTAAAGCCTGCACACCACCATGGGCCGAGATGCAAATCACATCACAACTAGTGCCAGCATGAACATCGACTCCAAAGATAAAAATAACAGGGTCCGCCAGGGGTTACCTTTGGGCCTAGCGGCACAGCATGGCAGCAGGAAGCACCATGCGATAATAGGCAGGAAGAGCACGGCGCGTGCGAGCCAGGACGAAGAAGCAGATCGCCTCATTATCGATACCAAACTACTAGCTTCTTTTATAGGAGTGACTGACATTTTCATCAATTAGTGGGTGATTGCAGGTCAAAGTCATCTCTCAGTACGTATACGTACCGAATATTCATCCTTTGCCAAATTGCCAAATTGCAGCGTCTCGGAAGTTGAGCGATGCTTGAACAGCCAACGGGGCAACGGCTTCTCTGACCAGATCGATGGCACTGGCATTTATCAAGTGATTCTAATCTAACCATGCTCTTCGTTCGATCTAATTAACCATGCTCTGATCACCGCCATCTACACTTCTGCACTGCCATTCTTCCAGTCTAATCTAGCCCAAGTCAAGTGCTCCAAGTCGTCCCTCTGCTTGTCCGTGATGTCCCATCCATCCCAGCGCATGGCTTGAACTGAATCGGTCAAGCAAACCTGCTGTTAAATGATAATGACTGTATGTAACATGAAAGAATTCCTTATTTAATACTATCTTAAATTTTGCTTCCCTATTTGACACTGAATTTTTTTTTCCTATCTAACATCGAATCTGATACAAAGGCTGGGGTAATCCTCCTTTTCTAAAAAAAAAAATCAAATATTGAATCTAATTTTTTCCCATTTATGACATTTTCATCCATGTTGAACCTCAACGGTGTTAAATGACACCTCAAAAGACCATTTTCCCCATATATGGTATGTGGCCAAAGTTTGTGCGTGGAGGTCGTGTGGCGACGGCTCGCGCACCCTGTGCAGCGGCAAGGCGCATATCTTGTGCGGCTGCGGCATGGCGTGCAGCAGATGGCCAGCAGAGATGTGGAACGACGAGGCGCATGGGGCCAGAGATGCGGCAGCACACAACGGCTGGGAGAAACATGTTTGGCAGCCGGGAGGGCGTATGGTGCCATTCTTGGTCGCACATCCTAAGTCGCTAGGATGTCGACCCGAGCCTGTGTCACGCACGTCCTCGCTTCAACAGCAAGCCAGCACCCCTCACTTCTTCCTCCTCGCATTCTCAATGACTTGTCTGAGTAGATCTCAACTCCTTTTTCTCCTAAATCAGACCGTGAAGCTTGACCAAATTTATCGAAAAGGGTATTAAAAGTCCATATGCATTATTATTCAATAAAGGGCCATTCTCTCTTGATTCTGGATCATTAACATTGCGACTAGGATCGCCAAACTGACTATGTGTGGCCATTCAATAAAATATTGTACTCATTGACACGCAAGAACAAAAGGGAAATGCTGGTGGTGGGATATCATATATTCCAAGGAGGATTCCAACACGTAAATACCCTCATTAGTGCGTTAAATAAAATGTTCTACCTGATATCAAATCTCTTAACTCTTCTACAAACCAACTATTATGGCATTTCTCGTCCTCACATGCATGCATTTGTTTTAATTGCAATGGATATGGGATACATACATTGCTTTAGTTGCAAGGTCAATATGTATTAGCTAACGATTATGCCAAGATACGGAGAGATGTAAGATTGGCATGTATACTCAACTTTCCACATTACAAAATAAGACTTGTTTGAGTGGTCCGAGTACAATTGGGATGGCCTCACTAGTCGAATTCGATAGTTTCACTTTGTTTGGGTTTACAACCGAACTAACCCCATTTCCACTAATTGATTATGAAAGTAATGCTTACAAGCGTTAAAAGGGGGGGAAGGGAAGAACAAAAACAATAAAGAGAGTTGCGAGTTGGAACACTAGTAAGAAACCCGTTGTGAATGATGTTCGCTCTCGCACGAGCACTATGAGGCAAAAACCTACTATTATGAGATACAAATGCTTGAAAAAGTTGGGGATCACAGCACAAATTACAACGAAAACCAACACTTGCTCTAATGATAGAGGCATCATCCCAAACCACCTTCGGGAAGACAAGCACCAATCAGCTTCCAGTAACCGCGCCATGGCAGGAGCCATCACATCACCTGTGGTTCCTTGGTGTCTTACCCCGCGGCGCCGGAGGCGCCCGTCCTACTTGGCTTCCTCCTCCCCCGTTTCCTGCTGCCCCGTTTCCTTCTCCCCCAGAGCCCTCCCCACCCCCCTGACCAAAGTGGTATCCTTCTCGTCCTGGGCCATCCCC